TCCCTCCCCCGGAGCTCTGGTCACTGCTGTCCTCATCTGGATAAAAAATAATTCAAGAATGGAAGAGGATCTCAAAATACCTTTTTTTAGTCTTTGGCTTATACAAACAAAAGTAGTTTTTTTTAATACCATGGCATAGCTCAACATATTTGTATATTATACATCCATTTCTAAGCTTCTTCAACAACGGAAATAGAAGGAATCACACTAATACAACAAAGTTTTCTAACCTTATACATATAATAATAACACATATAATAATATATAATACATATAATCATACATATAATATATAATACATGTAGTAATACATATAATAGATAATACATATAATAAATACATAATACAAATAATATGTAATACACAGAATAATACATTTAATATATATAATATATAAATACATATAATGTATAATATACATAATAAAGCATATAATATATAACATAATCATACATATAATATATAACACATAGAATCAAACATATAATATATAATACATAAAATAATACATATAAATAATATATAATACATATAAAAATACAGATAATATAATATATATAATAAAACATGTAATATATAACACATATAATCATACATATAATAATATAATACATAGAATCAAACATATAATAAATATATAATACATAGAATCATACATATAATATATAATAGATAGAATAATACATATAATAAAAAATACATAGAATAATACATATAATATTTTCGGGAAGCCAACAGTAGAATATGTATCTATAACACTCCTTTGTCTGCATTTTTGCCTCAAAGTGCTTTTCTGTTTGGTTTTTTTTTGCCAGAGCTTTTCTGGTTTCTTTTCTCTCTCAGGGCCAGGAGGGTCCTGGCCACAACTTCTGTCTGGATTTGAGCGGGACACAGCGGGGGGACCCTGGGGAGGGACCGGGACACACCGGGGGGACCCTGGGGAGGGACCGGGACACAGCGGGGGGACCCTGGGGAGGTGACAGGACCGGGACACAGCAGGGGGACCCTGGGGAGGGGACAGGACCGGGACACAGCGGGGGGACCCTGGGGAGGTGACAGGACCGGGACACACCGGGGGGACCCTGGGGAGGTGCCGGAACGGAGGCAGCGATCCGGATCCCGCGCTCAGAGCCCAGCGCAGGTCGCTGCTGCCACCGCGCTGCGAGGGCCGGGACTGGCACAATGTGATGGTGACAGCGCGACCGAAGCCTCTGTCGCGACATGTCGGGACAGAATGTCGCCATGACAATGCCACCAACAGCTCCCGGATTGTGGAGACATCCTGGAAAGGGTCGGGGAGGAACGAGGCTCCTGAGGGATGGGAAGGGCAAATCCAAGGGATGGCAGAGTTGGACTTCCCGCAGCAAAAGGGAGCCCGAGGCTGCGAGAGGAAGAGCCCTGCAGGGAGCAAGGAGGGGCACGAGGGGCTCCGGAGATTCCCCGGCAGCCCGTGGGGGTCCCCGGCGAGCAGAGACCCCCCTGCAGCCCTGCAGGAGCCCCCGGCCCAGCAGGGGATGCCCACAGGGGGCTGTGAGCCCGAGGGAAGCCCCCGCTGGCGCAGTTGCCGAGGGCGGATGGAGTTTCTCAGATGTCTTTCACTTCTCCCTTTGCAGATTTCCATGCAGAAGAAATTCTCTTCGTTTCCCCAAGTCCCTTCAGCCCCTGCTGCTGCTCTGAGCCCTCCGTGCCCTTCTGCCAAGGCAGGAGCCTTTTGTTCTCCTGGCTGTGCAGGTGAGGAGGGCAGGGATGGAGCAGCTCTGGGGACACCTGCAATCCAGCCAGCCTCACTGCCCACAGCCCCAGCACAGCCCCTCAAGCTCCGTTCCCGAGCTGCTCTGGCCGCCTCTCACCCTGCAGGGGACGAGTGAGAATGGAGAAGTTTGGAACAGGATTTCTCCTCAAACCCCACAAACCCAAAGCATCCCAAGCCCCCAGGACAGAAACCCCATGGGTGGGGTGGGGAGTGGGACAGGGAGGGCGCAGCCCCCAATAACTTCAGCCCCCCTCCACTGTCACAGCCCTTTGGCAGCAATTTTGGGACCAAATCAGCCACTTTTCCACGGGGAAAAAGCTGCAGTTTTCCATCCCGGTACTGGGGGGTGGAGGGGCAGGATGGTCCTGGGGGCTGTGGACAGAGGGGGGGGTCACGGCTGTTTCTATCCTTTGTCTCCTGGCTCCCAGTGACACCCTGCGGGTGCTGGAGGGGTGGGGTCGGTTTTGGGGGGCTCTGGAGGGGTCTGTTCCTTCCCCAGCTGACACCCAGCCCATGTCACCCCCCACTGTCACCACCGTGGTGGCTTCTCACACATGGAAGGGTCTTGGAGGGCTGTGGGTTGGGGTGGATGGAACCTAAAAATCCAAAAGGGGAATTTAGGAGTCCCAAAGTGGGCGGCTGCAGAGGGGACAGGGTTGCAACACCCCAGAGGTCACTGAGTCCCACCGGGGAGAGAGGGGCTGGGCAGGACCCCCCAGGAGAAGGGTTCACAGGATGTTCCACCCCTGGGACAGTGAAAAACACCCACCCCCACCCCCCC